GACTCTATAAAACTAGGAATCGCGTCTAACGGACAAGTGGCCTTGAGCCATTGAAACATTCGTCGAATTTCCGAGATTTTCTTTTCGTAACGTGGCTGTAAAGTATAGGAGCGAAGAGAAACGAGCACGGTTATAGAGAAATAAATTTTGTAAAAACAGGCGTGAACCTTTAGCGCGCTTACACTTGGCCTTTTTAAGGCACGATAACTTACCCATTGACTTTCTTCCTCGGGGATTTTACGACGTTACAGCGTACTTACAGCGAGCTACAGAACGCTATCGGTGCGTCAACTCGGTTATACGCTACGTACTTTCGTTCCTGTGCTCTTTGCGAGAATTCGTGGTCGATTCGTCGTAAATTGTTTCACTCCATACTATGTATAAAAGAACAGAAGCGATAATAAGCCTAACGACTTTTAGAGACGCTTCGTCTGAGAAAAATGCAACGGAACCTCGAGCGCTTTACGCGATTAACACCGAAACTTGGCCGAAGCGGCCGCTTTTGTTCCTGTTTGAGGCGATAGCTCGATCGAGGTGTTCGCATTGCTATCGCGTCCCCGCATCGACTGTTCAAGCTCAAAGATCACAGGTCGCAAATTACAGGGTCGGTTTGCAGTCAAGTGCACTTGTAACTGCAAAGACGTTGCGATAGGTCGGATACGGAATCGGCGATGTTCGATTCAAGGGGAACGCTAACGGTGCAGTTACCAGTTAATTCACCAAATCACGACCAGAAGGGACTAATTAACGCTACGTTCGATTGTCTTTCAACTATCTCGATCTGTCTTGGGCGACTTAGGGGGGAACAGCGAAAGGGTGAAAAATTGCTAATTACACATAGACTAACTCCTGATGTCGTTTCTTTATATTCAGGGCTATACGATGGTTCTTCTCCATCATCGTCTTCGTTGCCTCTGGCAGTTTTGTATTTTATTAAAGCCTCGCAGTTCCCCTTAAATAAAAAAAATGCGCTTCCTGTTCGTCGCGTCTATTTCTAGTTCGAAATGCGACCGAACAATAAAAGCTTTTAAGCGAGAGAATTTAAACGCGTCTCTTAATATTTACGCGTAATGCGTTTCCATTTATAAATTACCGTTCAATGGGAAATGGTCGCGTTCGCTGGCACGCTGGCCGGTTTTTTCGCTTTCCCGTTTTCGATGGCGATTCATTCGCCGATTCGACGAATGAAACGGAAACGCGCGGAAAGAACGCGGATCAACGTTGACCGATGATGAATAACGAGATGCACGACGAGCGTGCGATTACTGAAGCACGCCAACGACGACTAGAATCTTCAGTTACGCGCACGAAGATGAGAAGCAACCAACCCCCGATGCTTTACATCCCCCTCGCATCCGCCGTTGCCACCCTTATTTGTTTTGAGAGGCCCGCTGCAAACAATGGGGAGGTTACAGGTTGTTTACTATGAATTGAAATTCGTGTAAATTTCCTCTTTGTTGTAGGTTCGCGTGATTCGCTGAAACTCGACGGTTCTGGAACCTTTTAAGATTCGTTATTTTTCTAAATAAATTCTTTATAAATAAATTGTTTAACAAGGTCTACGAATCTGGAAGCAACAATTGGTGAGCAAGTGACATAATCTCTTAACTCGCATTATCTCGACAGAGTTCAACGACGCTGTTCTCCATCATCGCATCGCATCGCATCGCATCGCCAAGATCGAAATCGGGGCTGCCCTCTGTAAACGGTCATTTGGTCATTCTTGTAGCGCACCTCAACTCTGCAAATTTGCTCGTTGCTCGTTTGTTCGACCCCTGCGAATATTTGCACGAGCTTCTACGAGCAACACCCAAAACGGATTCCAGCTGGCGATCAAAGCTCCCGATTGTCTCTCCTGTATCGTGGGAAATTTTCTTGTTTCGCGAGACCGTTTCGGGTTAAAGTTGGCTTCGATTCCCTTTGAACCGGTGCCGCTTTGTACGTCCGCCAACCGCTCCTCGGTCGCGTCCGCATTCCGCGTTGGGATTACGGTTTTCCGCCTGCTACCCTCGTCCACGACCGATCTTCGCGTGGAAAATCTCGTTGGCTGAAAATTACAAGAATACCTCCGATAAGAATGCGTTACTCTGTTCGCCTTGTTCGGACGAGAATTAATGGACTCTTATCGGATCGGTATCGTACAACTCGGAAATCGAGGTGGTGAACACCGAACCACGTCGAATGACCGTTCCGAAGGTACCCAATCTATAAGGGGAGCCAGTATAAAATAAAAAAAAAAAACAAATCAATACCCTTCAATACTCGCCAATATCCTACTCGTTTATCACTCATCAATGTTAATATATCCGTTCTCTTCGGGAATTTCGTGATACTTTGTCCGGTGAATTCGGAACATCTAAGATCGTCATCTTCGAAGCGAACTTGGTCTTATCGGTGTAGATTGAAAGCGTCTCTCGGATCTCAACCAACTGTTACTAGCCTGAAATTCCACGTAACGAGTGTTGACATACGATTACGCGCTACGATTATTCTAATTAACGCGTTTACCCAGTTTGTGTTATTTTAAAGTCACGGTAGACGTGTTTGCGTAACAACTCGCAAATTGCTCCAAAGCTTATTCCGGCAGCTGTATATTCGTTAACGTGCCCATAGTTTGTAGAAAGTTTATTCGGGAGTATTACGACACGCTTATTCCCTGAAATCTTGATAGATTCTTCAAGAAAAAGAACAACCGAAAGATACTCCTGTTAATCGGGAGAATGTGAGCTATTCTCGTCGCAAACGTACGTTTCGTATTTGCCTGAGATACCATGTACGGGACCTTTAACTTTAAACCTCGCAGCTGATCAACATGTTAATCGGCAGTTCTATCGGTGTATCGGTGCTCGATCTTCACTAACGTTCCGTTGCGTTTGCGTCAAAGGGAATCGCTGCGTTGTCCAAATACCGGTCTTCTTGTCCCTTTGTCGCAGACCTAATTGCCGTTCGCTGCTGCCATCAGTGCACGCCTACGGTTCAGCCTGTATTTCTCTCGGTATCGTAATTCGTACGCTCAATTATCTCCATTGTTCCCGCGATCGGGCGCGAACGTAATCGATATACAACGTGCGTTTTCGTTTGTTTGCTAACCCCTGGCCAGCCACAAAGCGCGGGAGACGGTTACGTGCCTGGAATCGACGCTGTAATCGCCAGTATAGATCATTGGCTCATGCCGGGAACGAACAAACGGAAACAGAGTCTGCCAGCATTAATCGTTATCCAGTGTCCGGTTGTCCAAGTATCGCGTTAACGTCATTAACGTCGTTTTTGTATAACGTTACCCTCGAACGTGTTTGTCGACGCGCATCGCCTATCCACCTGTAACGTTTCGATTCTAGCGGCGGATCTACGACGAGATACAATTTTAAAGGTACAATTATCGCGTGGATAAAAGCGAACGCGTACATTCGAACGTGAACATATTCTTCTTGTCAATTTGCCATAGCAATTTGGATCAAAAATATCGCACGGTAAATTCAACAAGTACTATCCTGTTCTCAAAACTGAGAATATCCGTGTTTTTATCGGCACCATCGAACGAACGTAACTTTCCGAATGGAGAGCGAATCGCGTTCCTCACGGGTGAATATTTTCGCAGAAGAGTAAACAAAATATAGTCTGTCTCTAGTTACGTATTAAATTTCGTAATTAATATTTTTCATTTCGACATTGGATGCTCTTATGCATTGGTTTTTTTATTTGCTTCCAGCCGTATCACAACGTGAGTATTAATTTTGAACGAGCACGTTGCCGACGAGTGGCTGGTTAGCCCGTTGTGGAATTTACTGGTATTTTTTTGTGTCGCGCAGCCTCGTTTGAAGCATTCGTCGTCGTTTGAAATAAATTCTGTTTTTTTTTTTACGCGTTGCGAAATGAGAGCCTGTCGCGCAATTCGCGTTAATGTGAAGTCACATTTTTATTAACGGTGTTTTGCTGTTTTTTTTTTTTCTTTGCTGTAACGATGTCGGATAAAATACATCTAGGCGCTTTTCACCGTTCTCTTTTTGCATTATTTCGATCAAGTCGATGTTCTTTTAAAAGGAAAGGTCTCGTCATGGTTCTCGTTGGTGTTACATGGCGAAGGGTGGACGAAGTCTAGGAATGGACTTTGTTTTGTATCGATCGGATCTTTATTGGTCTACTCTAATGCAAGGATGGAAATATTTAACCGAGCGCGATTTAGGCGACCGCGTACATTCGCGAAATCTTGTCTAACGAGATCCGCGCGCACGCTTCAAGTTCAAAGTGCACCTCGTACCATTTTATATCGCATTTTCCTCGTGCTTCTTATTTATGGCGCGGGCCAAGCTTTCGACGAGTTTCTTTGCCGTTCTGTAGCGAGAGACCACTTCCAGGAAACGTAATAAAGTACCGGTGCATCTGTTACCAAGGCTCGCTCGCAGTCGCAATTTCTGGTTCTCCTGCGACTCGGCCTAAGTAAATACTTGGCGACCGTGGAGATTGCTCGTCGGCGAGCTGCAAACGTTTTGCATGTGTCTGCCAGGAAATTAAGGCTGCACCGTTTGCAGACACTTCTCGGAGGTTACTTGGCGACGTGTCGCGTTTTCGATTCCCTCCGAGTCGAGCGATCGTTCATCCTCTCAGCGATACACCGAGAACCGTCAAATAGGATTTGTACATAGAACCTTGAGAGGCTTTTAGACGAGTTTGATACGCGTACGTAGGACCGCAGACGCGTTCCGGGGCCATTTGTCGTACCTGGGTTGCGCTGCTTTTTATCCTAGTTTCGAAATCGTACTCGATTCCGTTTCGTACTCGAGCTTCCGTTTTTGCGCTTTCACGTTTTCTTCGCTCTACCAAATTTCGAGAAGTTACATGCAACAAACGATAAACTTGGTTATTCTAGCGCCACCTCGGCGACGCGTACAGGTTTTGCGCCACTGAAATTCAAAGGACGGCCGATTATAACGCGATAACCATCTCTGTCTCGCTGTTTTGCGCGACGAGACAATGCATTCACGATAGAAGAAGCACAGTCGTAAGGACACTGGGGGATGAAGACGGGAGTTTGTCTTCTCGCGTCGACCAGCGTGACATTTTTCTCAAGATCAAAGGGTTCGTCGAGATATATTATTAGGTGGACTGGAAAGTAACGTTGTTTTTGCAATTTTATATACTACTCGTTTATCATTCGTCAGCTCGTTGATTTTGATCGATCTGGCATTGAGAATTTGCACGCTAGATGGCAAAATTTCTTTGAATTTAATGTAAAAGAAACGACACTACTTTCCACTCTAACTAATACATTTCGAGCCTATCAACCGGATGCTTTTAACGTATCACGAATCGTTTCGTGAGAGCGTTAAAAAAATATTGGATAAACCGCATTATTGAATTATTTTCAACCAATGATCGACACGGTCCAATTTTGGTGGCTAGCCAAATCAATCGAGTCTTTCTTAATTACCTTGCGCAAATCGAAAGGTTGAAATTTAATTTGAAGTTTATCCATCGGAAAATGATCAATCGACCCTGACGTTTACGGCATGTTCTCGCAAAGTTTCCACGAATGAGTTTGTCAAGCGTTGAAAATGAAGTCGTTGATTCTCACATAGTCAAGGAGGTTAATCGAGGTCCAAGCCGAAAATACGCCGACGAAACAGCGAGGTTCGGTTAAATCGATGAATTGAACACCGAGGGAGAGGGAGGGAGATGGTATCTAGCGATGTCGACTATCGTGCCAGTGAAATTACACCTAGCCGAGTCAGGCCGAGCCGACGTTGTAATTTCCCTGGTAATTTGCAACAAACTCCGCGAAATGGCCGACTGCGCCGAGCGACGAGCGACGAGCGGCGGATCCCTTCAAATTGGAAGTAACGACTCGTCGAAGTTGGTCAGGCAATCTTTACCGCCACGGAAGCCTGTAAGAATCAATCCAAGTTTGACGTCGTTGGATATTTTGCGAGAGAGTAGAACGCATCGAACAACTTGCAACGAGTTTTTACATCGATTGCAGCTTTAAACGTACCCGTAAATCTTATATTTATAGCGCGTTTGTTAAACTTGCTTTCAGCCTACCCAAGCATTGGAATCGCCGAGCATTTTCTAAGGAAAACAAAACCGTTGCTACCGACGAAGAAGAATACGTAAAAACACGGATGATGAACGATAATGCGCTTTCGTCGTTTCCTCGTCGTTCGAGCGTCAGATTTTCGATGAAACGTTACCTTCGGTTCCGTTATTGATCGTTTTTCGCTAGAATAACAATTTTCGCAGCGAGAAAGCGCGCTATGTATTTACAGTATCTTCTCCAAAATCTTTTGAAATATAACTCCAATATTCCCTATTACATGTTCCATTTAAGGGGGTGTTCTTGAAAGTCTAATACTTTTAAAATATCGATTTTTCTTATTTGCATTTTCTCAAAGTGTATGCCTTCAAAAAGAATTCCTCAAAAAGAACTAAAAATTGACACGCTAAACTAGAATACCCCCTTAATCGGGAAACAGTGGTCAGCGAAAAATTCACTTTCGATTCTTTTTTCCGTGAACGCGTTTATTCGCGAACGTTTATCACGATCGCGGTGTAAAGAAACTCGGAAAAGTACCACGGTTTCGTGACGCACCGCTGCTATATTCAAATTCGGGGACGCGAATGGTACCTCCGTCTTTTGCCACCGCGAGAGAATTTCGTAAAGCAAGCACGAAAAGTTTCTTCGCGCGGATATATTCTTCCCAGTAGAGCGATTCACTCGTTACGGGAATTCCGCAGCCGTTCCTATCGAACGTGCCGGCTCGATTAATTTTTAAAGCGAAACTGAGCTTGTCGCGCAGAAATATTTTGTTCGCCTTTCGGCGCATCCACTCGTACGGAACGTTATCGAATTTACCAATTACCTGTCGAACCTGGCCCTGACACCGGAACTGTTTCCAGTAGACAAATTGAAAGAAAAACAAATATAACCAAATTTTTTTTTTTTTTTTTTTTTAATTTTTCCTCAACGCCGTACAAAAGCACGCGAAATTTGTTTCGGTTTTTATACAATTTTAATTCTATTTAATTCGTCGTTCTCTCGGAAACGAAATAGCGTTGACACGCTATTCTATGCTTTTGCATAGAATATTTATTAATGTTGTAGAATAACCGTAAAAAATTGTATCAGAATCTGTGACATTTCTAAATAGACTGGACAAGTTCGAATGCTACGAGGTCAAAATGTCTGCGTTGAAAATTCCGACCATACCAGCGAAGCTTCTGGATGAAAGTTTTTGACGCAAGTATGGGAATAACCGCGGTTACTTTCTTCATAATCCGCGCGCTACCAATCTTCTGGAATCAGGAACGAACGAATGGTTCCACGGGTTAGAAGTTCGAATCCCGCGAGAAAAAGGCTCGAGTCGCGATAAATCGCGAAAGATATACGGAATAAGTTCTTATTGCGAGCGGTCGGCCGAGAGGAATAAATCTCGGTCCTCCCTTGTCATCGCTAATTCGGACCGTGACGCCACGTGCCAGTTGCTCGATTCCGCCCCTGTTTTACGGTTATCGATAAACGCCAGGCAAAAAAGTTTTAACGAAACGACGGAGCATAAAATTTCGTCTAATTCCAACTCGTAGCGGTATCGCCAGATCTTTACGATCTCGCCACGCCGAGAACCTGTGATTATACGGTATATTCCTTATCGAAGAATCAATCGAATGTATGTATGTACTTGCTTTTTCTAAAAATATCAAACGTATGCACGTGATACGGATATCCGACAGTCGCGTGGACGCTCGCGCACGCGCCTGCCTTTTCCGCGCTTCCACTTTCCTGGGGAAAGCCGTAATGGAGTTTTGGCGTTCTCCGCCATTGTTTTGCAGTTTTATAAACCGATGAGAGTGCCGGGAACATTTACCCTGGAGAGAGAGAGGGAGAGAGAGAGAGAGATTTCGTAGATCTGCAGAGAAACGAAATCAAGATATCCGAGGCGAAATTTCGGCACTCGACTATATTTGCTGTCTTTAAAAATACTTGAGGACGCATTCTGGTTGCTCGGCGTATACATAGGTAGATATAAATAAAAAATTTTAAAGAAATTTCGCGTAATATATGTATATTACGTGTATATTACGACGCGACGCTTCGCCTCCATTTCCCTAGATATTTCTCGGTGGCGAAACCGCTAGAAAATGTACATCTTCATTAATAATTGCTTTCCATAGATAAACGCTTTTCACGTCGAGTTAACGTCAGATTTAAACGTCGCTTAAACGAATTAGTATCGATGCTCGCTTCGCGCTCCTTCAACTTTTCCGTATTTCTAGCCAGGCTATTCCTGTGTATCGGAAATTTATTTCCTGAAATTTTCAAAGTAGTTGCACGCCACCGTGCTTCATTTATGTTTCCAACAAAAGATTGCAGCTTCGTCAGATTTTCGTACGCGGCAACCGGCAACCTCTTCTTCCAAATATACTCTTCTTCGCCGACGCGACGCGAAAATGCAAACAGAAATATCCCCCGCGCAGATGTTCGATCGTTTTTTTATGATATATTTGCCAATTCCGTCTATTTTCTTGGTCCGTTCCGATGTCGCATCCTTTTAAAAAAATTCATTGGCTTCCAAAATACAAGTATTTAAAATTCATCAGAGGGAATTTGTTTTCGTAAAACATATTCGAAATAGCTTAACGAACGAAAACTTGGAATCAGGGGAAAAGCTGAGAGCTGAACCTTGCGTTTTCCACGTTTCTACGTGTAGCAGCGGTGGCCGAGTCAGGTAGGATATCAGGTTCAGTGGAAGGGAACGTTAACGAAGACAGATCTAACCGAGAGGAACAATTATTCCTCGGCGAGATGTAACGTTACGTCTGCGCGAATTTCGAGTATCGTTCCGATTGCACTCGCGAGAGGATATTGCGCTTCCTCGGCTTGCTCCGTTCACCAAAGCCCATGAAACTTGAAAGAAGCCGTAATTTGAAAAGATTCGTCGGAGCACATCGGGTAGACATCCTCGATTAATCCCAGTCCTCCTTGATTTTTTTGCTTTCAGTCGTTGAGAACTCCTTAGGACAAGGGGAGGTGAAGGCGAAGGCGAAGGCGAAGGCAAAGGCGAAGACGAAGGCGGAGTCGAGAGCAGAGGCGAGAATTTCGGTGGACGATTCGCGGTGGCGGGTGAGGAATTTCGGAGGGTTGAAACGGCGGATAAAAGGTGGCATGAAAATGGGAGAGAATCAGCAGCAACAGCAGCAGCAGCAGCAGCAGCAGCCGCAGTTTCTTCGTTCGATCAACAACGATCAGAGGACTTTCGTTAAGTTCATCAATACGACGCAGCGCCACGTCGGTTTGTATTGGATCGACTACCAGGGACAGGCGGTCAGCTATGGCGTGTTGACGCCTGACGAACACAAGGATATCAACACGTTTGTCACCCATCCGTGGATCTTTGTTGACAATGAAACGAACGACAGGTAGGAGAACCGTTCGACGTTTAGCTTTATTTTTAGTCCATCGAATCGGCTAAAACAGCGACGGCTACTCTCCTCTCGTATCTGTTCGGTTTTAAAACCTCCCGGAGATACCAGACGATGCTTTGATTAGCAAGATTGGAGTTTGTCGAACCTATCATTCGTAAAAGAGAGCATCGAACGAAGAAAGAGTTTGGTGGACGCGACCAAGCCATTCTTTACGCTAACCTTCCGTTTACGCGGCAGCTTCGCGTTATCGAAGGCATTCGAAGCGACTAGGTAAGTAAAGTGTTCCATCTGCGAAGGAATACAGCAACTTGCATCCCGATGGAACCGTAACTCTTTCTGCGTTCGAGGCTGAACGATTCGAGGCAAGTCACCCACCCAACGTCAACGTGAATTAGATTTTAGTTTATCGCGCCAAGGATCGTAGGTTGGATGGAAACACGTTTTCAGGTACACGGTTAATCAGAGGGACGTCTTCTTTCCGCAACCGTGGCAACGCGAAAGGCTATACGTATACATCACGCTGCCGTTGTATACGTTGCGAGAGATGTCGCTGAGGACCATCAAGCGGCGTCTATCGTACGATCTACAGGCCTTTCACCTCGACATTCCCAGGAGTCTTCAGTTCGAGCTGGCTGCGATGCTGCCGAAAAAGGAGGATTGAAACAATTGTTCCAATTTCTAGCGATTGCTTCGCTGGACTATACAAACAACCGCGTTCTTTGCAACGTTACAGTCGAGATGAAAGATATTCTGCTCGAGACAATCGCCCCGTCCATACTTGCGCTAACCACCGGTTTCGTGACAAACTCAATCACGGCTGGTTTCTGTACGGTCAATCCTATAAATATACGTTCATCGAAGAAATTTGTCTAAATTAAATGATAGGTTTGCTCGCTATCATTTCATTTAAACAAACTTTTCCATGAAACATAGAATGTACGAATACTTGTGGGACTGACTGTACATACACGTATATCGACCAGTGAATGTCACTTATCGACAACCACGTCGTGTATCCTTTTTTGCTGCATCTGTTCGAACCAAGAAGATGGAACGCAAAGCAATGGAATGGTCGGATCGCACGGGGGAGACAGTCGTTCGACTGGTAGAGGCCAGGTTGGAAAGTACCAACGAAAAAGACGCGTCTAACAACCGGAAGTCTCGAATATTATGCACATAGAGATTTTATTGGTAAGCGTTCCGCTCGGATACGAACGACTCAAGTAGTTATCGATATCGATCCGCTGTTACATCGTAATCCGTTGCAGACGTTACGGAAACGCAGTTATCGAATGTATAAATTTTATTTTAACTTACAAACTGTTGCGTACCTATAGAAAATGATTTCTTTGAAATGTGCGTCCAGAATGCTAGAGAGCGACGTCCACTATATCCAAAGGATCGAAAACATGTGCTCGACGTTTAGTAGCTTGTCGCAAAGGGGTAAAGGTCTAGGAATTTGCCAAAATTGGTGTACGTAAGCGTGGTACGTACTCGCATATGCATTTTATCGTTGGAAAGTTTCGGACTCGACGGCGAGCACTCTTTTCCTCGATACCACTCACCTCCCTCTGTTCGGAATAACAGAGAAAGATTGCAAGTGGAAAATATTAAAAGGTTTGTCGAAAGTGTTGCATTCCTTTGTTTGCTTAAATTCTTTGCGCCATTCCACTCCTTTGCTTCAAACGAGTTTACTCGTTGAACGGTGTTTCTATTTACGCTATTATGTTAAGCTGTTATGTTAAGAGTTTTCTCTTCCGTTACGGCGCACACCGGCAATCTCTTACTAATAAGATCTAAGTTGGTTAAATTGTCAGTGTTTTTACTCGTGTTACTATTTCTAAAATTATTAAAAACGAAGAACGAAAAGAATGTCATCGTTATGGAAATGTCTGGAACCCCTCGATCGAAAAGTTTTACCGCGAGATAGATCCGGAGTGAAAAATTCAACGAAAGTTCGAAACTAATCACAGCCTCGATATTCTTCCCGTATCCTTCCATTTATTCTTGCATTTCAATCGAGTAATTTAAATCGTAATGTCCTGCTCCGATTGAAAATATTTCTCGTGTCTTTCGGTCGAATAGCGCGAACAGCGTGAACAGCGCGAACAGCGCCGCTATCGATCCCGCTGCCTCGCAACTTTTCCAACGATTCGGATATAAATTTCTTCGGTCGTACATTCATTACCGTTTCGAACGGTTCGCACTCGACCGAAGAGATAACGGAAGAAAGGAAGGAAAAGCGAAGCCAGCGAACAAAAATAATACAACCATCTCAGCAGGAGTACGGTTTGTCTTGGCCATCGTTCGGACAAGTTTCAACTTTTCACAAGTTTTTTCCGCCATTCCAGAGCTGGAATGGGATCCCGAAGATCGTAGGGGGATTCACGGAAAGAAATTTCGAGGGGAAATCGGTGCGGATGGCCGGTAATCCGGCCTCGTTTCCGCAATTCGTAAGTAGAGTTACGAAGTTATTAAAGCTATCCCCATCCTCCGATGGTGGTCCTTTCCTAATCAACCATGCGAGTCCTGACTATCCAGCCAACTTTCCTACGGGATGGTTTCGCCTAGGGAAGCGCATACGTGCGTTGATTAACCATTAGGCGAGTTAAATACACCGCGCCTCGAAACAGACCAACGTAACGCTCGGTTTTCGCGTTGGGCAACATGGCTCGCTTGGATTTCCCTCGAAAAACTCTCTGCCTCGTTTAGCCCGGTTCATCGTTGCTCCTCGCTCGCTTTACAATCGTAAATTTTACATACTTTTTTTAATGAAATTCCTAAAACCGAGGAAGGCGTTTTCCGTCTACCGTCTACTTTCTATATAACAGTAGTTTACGAAAGCAAGTATGGAACGAGGTGTAAAGTATTCTGGGTTTGTCTTTCTCTGTTGGACATTGTCAGAACGCAAAGATCCCAGACGGATTCCGATGGATTTAAACATTCAAAACATGTCTGTCGGAGCATTTATAATTTGACACAGCCGGATAAGCGTTTCGAGCTTCGAGCTCATCCAGACGACCATTAACAATAGAAACGTATACCTTTTTCTAGAAATTAATTAAATGAATTCTATCGTGTCACGCGATGCGCATCTGGAATTGATTATCGGCGAGCCCCCCGATTCCCATGTTTCTTCGATAACTGTTCGTAGCTATTCGATAATTAACCGAGTTTTCCGAACGTTTATATTTTGCATGCTTTTTGTAGTTGAAAGACTCCCGATGCACCAGCTAAAATATTTACCAGATGGAGCATAGGTTATCGCGAAATTTCATGAAATGGATATTTCATTTATGAGATGTTTCGCTAAAAAAAAAAAAGGACAGGTGGAGCACCATGTTGGAGGAATATTCGCAGCATTCACTCGTCAGTTTTGCACCGGGTTCGCTGTTATTTGTCCACGAAAATATGCTTGGTGACTCGGTGACTTTGTGATTCGCGATCGCGAGGAGAAGGCAGAGGCGAAACCGCGGAAAATCTCGGGATCCAGGTCGACGGATCGACGTTGATCTCTCCTCGACGAAGGAGAAATCGCGAATCCTCCAAGTAGAAGTATTGCGAAATTTCGTGCAGAACGTCCCTATTAGACGGCATAACACTTTCTCCGTATCGTTTCTTTCCACGGGAAGTAAACCAGAGCTGCTCTATTTCGAGTAATTGGAGTTTTGGGAATACAAGCAGATTTCTTAAAAAGAAAAAAAAAATGAAGCAGTGTTCTATCAGCTGTCAAGTTTAGTAAAATGTGGTTACTTGAACGTAGACCGTAATCCTGGGCTTTTCGGGTCCGAAAAATGTCGAATTATCTCCGACTAAGACCGCTTAGTAAGATTGCTCGATATTCCTGCTTATTGGCGCGCATCTAATGAATTACTGGCGTTGATCGTCGTCGACGACGTTGACGTTGTTGGCACGTTATTCGGGCGTCCGGCATTTCTGTGTTCGCCAGGGCTTGTTCGAGAGAAGTAATTCCATCGCATCGCGCTCTTATCGTGCTCGTCGACTTGACGGATATTGGGAAACCGGAAGTGCGATCGCGAGAAGAGAGAAGCGGTAAAAAGCGAGACGAGACCTCGAGGAGCGCGATTTATCCGCGTATTCTCGCGACGCGTGTTTTAAGTAATTGAAAAGCAGGGGAATGCGGTATTCAAGCTCGAGAGCTATTTACAAACTCGACGATTAATTCATTGATATTCGTTGAAATGAGTTGAAACGAGTCGATGAATGAAAGGTATACCGCGGCGATTGAAATTTATCGAAGAATTTAGACGATCTAATAATACTAGAAAACGGACGAGAAATCGTCGATAGAGGGATAAATCCGAGAGTTCCTCGAGCGAATGGAGCGTTGGTACGAATCGAGTTCCACTGTATCGATAATCGTGGGCTGCCATTTATAAAGATATAACCGAATAAGAGGGTTAAACGAGTCGAAATTTGAGCCGCGATCAAGTCTCTATTTCGAATTGAAAGTTGCCAAGTATTTAATAAGCGAGCAAATGATTGCGCGTCGAATTTGGTTTAGGGATACCTTTGTGGTTGGGTACGTTGTGTATCGATAACATTATCACGAGCGCAATGCCCCTCGGTTGGACCACGGTCGATTCGACTAGACGCTACGTTGATGGCTATGAGAAATCAGCAAACGTGACTGGTTGATAGCATTTTATTGTGAATGGTAATTAGATCGAATAAATAGGCCACAAGCATAAAACAGCCACGGAGTTGTAATCGAGTAATGACACTCGATATATCGGTGCTCGACGATTGAATAGACCGGCTGAATGAAACTCCAGAGAATCGGTTGAATGCGAATAAACTAAATACGCGAAATAGACGAAGCGGAAGGGAGAGATGAATCTGCGGCTCGCAGGATGCGCCGCTCGCGAAACCCCCCGGTCATTGTTTATCGCGGCCGGGCCGTTTTAATGCCTGCTATAATTGCATACGATGAAAAGCCAATGGGTTCCACTCTTTGACGTGGTATTTCGACATCGGGGACCCCTTTCCGTTCCAAATTGTTGCAAAACGACTGCGAAACGGTCTTTCGTAATTAGTTGTGCGCGTGGTTATCGCGTGTTCCTGCATAAATAACGCGGTAGGGTTCTCTCGACGGAAACTCTAATAAATGTTAATTAGCAATTACCGCGACCACTTGAACCTTCAACGATCGACCGACATCCCTTTTTAATTCCTCTCGATCTATCCGTCTTTTCTTTTAGAAAACTCTCCTATCGTACTTTACCTTCTTTGAATAAAAGATTTTTAATTCGCCGAGAGAACGGAACCCGAATTACCTGATCCATCTCGATCAAATCTTTTTTGGCTATTCTACGACACAAATGAACATTGCGTGCTCAACTTTCACGCTTGATTCAAGTTGCTCGTAAACTAATTGATATTTTTTCTCGAAAACGAACAGCGCAGAATATTTATTAATGTTGCAGAGTAATCGAAAAAAATGTCATCAAGATCTGGGACGTCAGTTCGCGTGGGTGACGCTGCATCGAAGATTTCTGATCCGTATTGGAATCGTTAGACTCTCGAGCTCGTTTACCCGCCTCGATACTTGTCGAGAACCGCGAGGAACCAACGTGACCGCGGTGCAGAGCTCGTGTTAAAGTCGACGCGAGTCCGAAACGTCCGGAACGGCGCGGCGGCAGTTACAGTCTTCGAGTGTCCATCGAATCCGTGAAAACGCAAACAGCTTGCGCGGGGAATATGCGAAGCTCGTACCGCGAGGTTTGCACGGACGGATCGCGACTTCCCAGCAAACACTGCGAGCATTCGCGAGAGGCGGCGCTATTTGTTCGCTCTCCTCTGAATCTCGATTTTATTTGACTTCCGATGTGATCGAGCATCATCGTTCAAGGAACAGAGAAGCCCTCGCTCGATTTGCCTTTCGCGTTACTTTTCGTTCCTGAACGCTGGCAAATTATAGGCTGGACTCTGTTGTTTTATCGACTCGATCGTTGTCGAGGAATCGACGTAAATTCTTGTAGGTCTCGAGAATTCGACGTGAAGGGGCTCGGAGTGGAAAGTAGCAGTTTCGTAACCGGATACCAACTTCTACTATGTAAACAATGCAATCTTGCGTTTACAGGAATTTCCTCCGAAACAAGGAATGCAGAAAATAACGAACTCGAAAGCCTACCACTTTATCCATAGCTTGCATCAAACATTATCGAGTGAAAAACTGGCCGCGAATCGATGACGGGAGTGTTCAGAAATACGGGGGATCGGTGATGAAAACACGAACTTCCGGCGGAAACTGGGACCGCGGTGTCATTTATGTCGCGTCGCGCGTATCACACGATTAAACGCGAGTTAGAGTGGCCGGGTATTTATAACCGGACGCGCGTCGACGAGGGACTTTTGATCCATGCCGATCAAATATCCAGATTATCGGAACACAACCAGAATAAAAGTAAAATAATGCAAACACAGAAAAACGTCGACAAACCGATAACAATGAATTGTTCGGAAGGATTTGTTCTCGTGACGCGAGCTGGAAATTTATTATTTCGTCGTGGGAATTTTTCGTCGATCACGTTCCAGCCTGTAATTCATCGGACGCGCGTCGATCGACGGCCGCTAATTAAATCGTCACAGCAGCTTCTTTCCACGGTTGTTTCGCGACTGGCGTTCTCCATTTTCCATTAATTACAGACAGATGCCCCGTTCCCTGCTCCCTGTTCCACCGCCATGTACCCGTGCGTGCTCGCTACTTGTATACAGCTACGTATTAATTTACGAAAAATGTTTTCTCTCAACATGTTTGCCGCGTTACGGATCATTCGTGACCGATCATTTCGATCATTGACGTTCGTCTAAACGCTTAGTCAACCAAAGAAACCGAGAGTAGTCGACGA